TCAATTTAAGTTCGACCATCCAATCCAAGTTGCCAAATCACTGTTTCTTCCAGCCTGACAAGTCCTATACATACGTAAAGAATTCCTCAAAAATTCCGTGTACGATAAATATCATGATTTATATTTCTGTCACACTCTCCAACCTAATAAATTAGCTCAGAGGAACTTGAAAGGATGATTTCAGTGACCTCGCTCTGTATAAATAGTTGATCAAGGCCCAAAGGAAGGAGGGCAGGAGATGCTTCATCATGTCATTTTTAGAGCAGTCACTATCACACGTATAAATATAAGACCTCTCATATTAACCTTTCTTTAGTTCCGAGTCGATTCCATTCAGAATATACTTATTTGAAGTAGGAGAAGTCATTAATGAAAAGAAAATATACTTCCTTGTACGAATATGAGATAAATCCACAGTATTAATCTCATATTTGGCTACTCGAGCATGTATGGCAAATCTCTTAAATATCTCTTAAGGGAACTTCTTGTTTTATGAAAGTATAAGGATCTTACAAATCTCTTAGAATCCTTAGCTCAGAAAATGTCTCTGGCAAGTATCCAGTCAGCTGATTGGAGGAAGGCATCCTACATTTGCAACATGCAGCAAGGAACTATCAAATATCTGTAAGACTTTTTAGGAATGTAAAAGAGAGGTTTGACGACTTACAAAGTCTGAAAATTGACCAAATTCCCAAGCTCAGCAGGAAGAAGACCAGAAAATTGGTTCCCTTCAAGGTTCCTGATGATTTACGAAAGAAAAGAAAGGAAAGTTGATGTATCATTTCTTATGAGTATATTTTCACAACAATCACCAGAACTTGAATCAAAATGCAGTGTCGAGGTCCTGAAAATAAACCAAGTTTCAATACGTACAGGTGTGTCAGAGTGATAACATTCCCCAACTCCTTTGGGATCATGGTATAAAATATCGATGATATCGGAAATATCGGTAATCCAAAAACATGGAAATTTCGATGGAAATATCGGGATATTATCGATATCGATAAAAATTGAATAAAAACCACGGAAATTGTAAAAAAAACTTGGAAATTTTTATTGAAACTTTGGAGAATGTTTATTTAGTCAATTATCTATTAGTTTATCAAAAAAAATTAGAAGGAAATGCATTACATGATGGATTTAACTGATTTAAGTTGATTATACAGCGAGCTGGCAAACACTGTGAGTGTAGAAAATATGTAGTAATTAATGAAAAAAAGATTAAACACACCATAATCATTTATATATAATGATTTACTACAATATATTACACTTTATACATTGCATGGTAAGATACATGAGTGATTTAGTACCACATAAAGTTCCTATGATGTTCAAATTTTTCACTATCTTCATTATCTCTATGTGTAGAGTAAGTTTATTGTGAAGAGTATTCATCAAATGATAAATCCCCAAAATAGTTTTGCATGTAATCGTTAATATGCCACTCATATAAATATAAATATTTTAGCATATTATCACTAAAACATAAGTGATATATCGTGGTTAAGGTGTTGGAGGAGTAAAATGGGAGGGGTTCAAATCCCTTTTGTGTTTTTTTTTTTCCTCCCTTGTTTCCCTTTTTTCTTCTTTTTCCTTTTTTTTTTCCTTCCTTTACATCGATATTTTCGATATTTTAGCGATATTACACCGATATTTTGACAAAATATTGCTGAAGTGTGAGCGAAATTATCAACATCGATATTTTTCGATATTATCGTCGATATTGTTGATATTTGTACGATATGTACATGGATATGTTCCGAAATATCTGTGATTCGAAAAAACTGAAATATCCTCGATATTTCGTCGATATTATCGATATTTCAGACTATGTTTAGGATTTCCCCCGATAACTGATTGACAATATTTTTTTTTTTTCGAGAACCTCGCGGGTACGAAGGAGTTTTATTGATAGAAAAATAAGAAATTACACGTAATTAAAAAGGACATAAACTTTACCCTTCATAAAGAAAAAAAAATCAAAATACAGAAAAAGAAAAGAGACATAAACCTTACCCTTCTTAAAAAAAATACAAAAAAAAAGAAAAAAAAAAGAAAAAAAAAAGAAAGATAAACCTTACCCGGTTGACAATAACAGATCTGCAGGAAATTCACTATTGGATGTACGTACATAGCCACTAGATTAAAACCTTAACATATAAATTAAAATGGCTCACATATAAGTTAGTTTCATTGAAGCCCATTCATGTGGTATTGTACCATTGAGATAGTTGTAAGAGCAACTTCACCCTTGGAGTCCTCCCCCCTGGCAATCCACTATTCAATCCACCTAGTGAATAGTAACTGCCCTTAATAAATAGTAATTGTCATTTGCATCTCCACCCTTAAAACCCTTTCCCCTGGCAATTAGTAATAAAATATTATTATTTTTTTTCTCACCCAATCCATAAAATATTATTATTTTTTCCTAATTTTGACCGGTACTCTCTCTCTTTCTCTCACAGCAACAACCATGGAACACCGAGGAGGAAGGAGGACGAGGAGCAGAAGGAGGAAGGAGGAAGGAGGAAGGAGGACCGGTCCTTTTTCTCTCTCTCTCTCTCAGCAACAGCCATGGAACACCGAGGAGGAAGGAGGGCGAGGAGGGGAAGGAGGACGAGGAGGAAGGAGGAAGGAGGACGCAGAGAACACCGAGCGCATGCACCGATGCCGCACATCAGCCATACGTCACACAACCCTCAGGCTCTCGGGCTGGCAATCCTCGCCGGGCCTGTCGCTCAGGCCCTTTCTCCTTGCCTGCCCCCCGAGCAACCAGCAACGCTGGATCCCCATCCCCCGGCCGTCGGGCCCTTTCTCCTTGCCTGTCCCCCGAGCAACCAGCAACGCTGGAGTTGCTCTAAGCAAATCACTACAAGAGAGAAATGTTACTTTGAATAATTAATTAAAAAATAAATAAAGATATGTAGTATCCAATTCCGAATCTCAAATGTATATCATGCAAGTCCAAAATGAAAGCTCTTTCACTTTTCGAAGGTAAGGAAGCTTGACGAGTTGAGATGGAAGCAACCCAGGTAAACTATAAAATACATATCATCGTTATATGATTTTAAAACTTATCCAAAAATGAATAGGCAATACGGTGGAACTCAACTTTCTTTACGGTATTAGAGCATGTTATCCTATTTGTGAAGCGCAACGGAAACACGTGCTCTACATCATCTAGTTTTGTATTGTTCACGTGCTAGGCTTGAAAATTCGCCACACGTAAATGACGTGTTGAGAGTGAATCCCAAAGATAGGAAATGAGAGCTCTTACATGTGCTTATAAGAGATTGAACTACTCTACATATTGCCCATTAATTTTATGGTTGAAGCTCAATTTCAACACCCCAATTCATGACTCTCCCCTCTTTGTTTTTCATTGATTTCCTCTATAAATTGGTTGGTTTAGGTTTGAGATTGTGGATCATAAAATTTTGGACTTAAATTTATTAATAGGTTTCGAGATTGGGTTGGGTATGAATCTATTTCTTGGATGGATTATGGAACGTTCGGAATTGAGAGAAAGTCGAAAATTTCGAGTTTAAACCAAATTTCCAGATCAGTTCGCGAACACCATTCAGACCTGGCAAACTGGGTAGATAGCAAACGAATTCCTCAGGTTAATACGGCTTTTGTTCTAAGTTCGATTGCCGAATGGCTTATACCGTCCAGCTCCAGTCCACTAACAGCCTATATTAATTTTTTTTTTTTTTTTTTTTTTTGTGGCTTCTTGTATCTTCGACCAATGATCTAATAGTTAAAATCACCAGAGTATACTAAAATTTCTCGTAAAATTGAGTTGATGATTATAGATGAGCTGTCAAAAGCCGAAAGTCAGAAAATTTTCATTGAGCAATGGTGTTTAGGCCCAAAATAATAGTTTGGGCCGAGTATAGAATCATTCTCGACCCAGAAGGCCTTGCGACAAGGGTGTTATGGATCGTTCAGTACGTGGGCCTCCAAACCTAGGTCGGCTAGGTCATGACGTAAGACAAGTCGAGTCCTGGTGCAATAAGGAGTCTCGGCAGGATTAATAACCCGAAAGCGAATCCGGTTCAATAAGGGACTAGGTTCACAGTCATAATGAAAGTAGGATTGGTCGAGTCAGTGTTTGATCAGGAGAAGAAGTCCTAGTCCGAATAGGGTTTTAACTCGACCTTGGGGGATCCGTTGCTATAAATAGAAGAGGTTGTGCATCATTCAAAGTTCTCCAATTCAATACACAACTGCCCTGCGCAAATTCTCTCAACAACTTTGAGATTTTTATTTTCTCTTTTCGCTGACACATCTTCCGTTGGCATCAACAGCACTGTGAAAGCAACCGGTGATATCTTAAGTCGGCATAGATAGCTCATAGCTCTGTCATCGTAGAATCAGCCGGTCTCGCAGTATCTTCCGTTGGCATCAACAGCACTGCGGCGATGACAGTTGGTTATCTATCCAAGTCTCGGTCGAGAAGGATTTCCAGATCCTTATTGATTGAGGTCATCTTCTTAGCCTTCTCGGCGAAGTGAGGTGTTACAGTTTATCGAGCTCGGCGCATTGCACGCCGAGTTATTTTATGATTGGATACTCCTAAGTGGGATTTAGAGTTCGGCATTCAGACGGCCGAACCACGTTCACTATTAAGACTTATATTCGCTTTGAGTATTTGTGTCCTTATACTTTAGTGTCGATTCGGCGAGAGTTTACTCTGACGAATAACATCACTGTGACCGAATCTGACGACGGCGATTTGTGAACTTCGTAAGAATAGTAACCTTGTCTTCAGGTTCGAGAGCCCAAGAGGCCGAGACGCATTCCTTTCTCGGCCGCAGTCGCAAGACGCAGAAGTCAGCCGCACGTCCAACGCAACATCAACAAATTTACTCCTCGGCCGAGCTCGGCCGACGAGTTGGCACGCCCCGCATTCACCAAAGGACGTAGTTAGCTTATAGATTACTCGGCCTGCGCGCCACGTAGGCTTGGTAGTTTTTAGGGTCAACAAATGGTCATTCGAAAAATAGAGACAGAGCAATGGTAGAGGTCAGATTTTCGTATGGTACATACACTTTTAAACTTAGAAACTACAGCCATTTTAAGAAGTCGGATTTAATTCAAGTCATGGCCTGATGTGATGAAGAGGACGAGCAAAATGTACTAACAGTTGCCGAATTCTGAGATTGCCTTCCACTCGAACTGTGTGTTTGGCTTTGATGATGTACGTCTCTCATGGATTTGAACGTCAAATCTTCAGCATAAGTACTCGCGTCTGGGATAATGTCCGGGACTTGTGTTTGTCCTTCGAGCATGCTCACCACCTCGGACATGGTAGGCCTAAGCGATGGAGACACATTTGTGCACAGCAGAATGACATTAACCATAACTTCTGCTTCTTTGTCATTGACTTCATTCCCTAAGCTCTCATCAATCAGCTCCTTCAAGTTTCCAGTTTGTTGCAACTCATAGGCCTGCACGGAACAGGAGAAAATTCACTTTATCCAAAGGTTTCTTACTGATTAAAATAAAGTTGTCGAAAAACCAAAATTTTATGCAATGGCTCGAGAGATTGAAAGCCGTATAGTACCCAGTCTAGGAGAGAGAAGCAAATGTTATTTGGCACATGGTTGTTTTTCTTCCCACTAGCAATTTCCAAGGCAACAACTCCGAAACTGTAAACATCTGCCTTGTTGGTCAAGTGACCCCATAGTGCATATTCCGGTGCCATATATCCTCTGCGTCGGAACATTTTGTTTATTCCAATTAAAAGGAAAAAAAATGCATAAAATGTAAACGTGCATCGAAGAAAATTTAATTGCAACTGACATGGTTCCTGCAACTTTGGTGCTAATGTGTGTTTTCTCCTCTTCATAAAGTTTAGCCAATCCAAAGTCGGATATTTTCGGGTTCAAATCCGCATCCAGCAGTACATTGGTTGCTTTTATGTCTCTGTGAACAATCTTGATTCTTGATTCTTCATGGAGAAAAGCTAAACCTCTTGCTATCCCAATGCAGATCTTAAACCTTGTAGGCCAGTCCAATTTAATCTGATGGTTCTCCTGATCTACATATCATCCAACAAAAATTGCTTCTTTCTCATCCCAGTACAAATATTTTTTTTGTTCTTTCAAAAAATCATAGAAGTGATCAAATGTTAAGTACTCAGATCTTCAGTTGATCAAACTGAAGTCATAAAAGTTCAGGGTGAGAGAAAATGACAGAAAACCTACTGAATAAGGCATGTGCAAGACTATTGTTTTCCATGTATTCATACACCAGCAATAAGTGATCCTCTTCAATGCAGTATCCATGCAGTTTCACTATATTCGGGTGCTGTAAACAAGATATCAGGCCCATCTCATTTACAAATTCGCGATTTCCTTGCCTTGAATTGGATGAGAGCTGCTTAATTGCTATCAGTGAACCATCAGGTAGCTGACCCTGCATCCCAACCCTAAATTTTAGAATCTACTTTTCAAAGCGTGAGAATTCCATATGACGGGAAGAAAAAAAGCGCTACCTTGTAGACAGGGCCAAAACCGCCTTCTCCAATCTTGTTTGCAGAATCAAAGTTGTTGCTGTCAGCTTTGATTTGCTCCAAAGTAAAAGTTCGCGTCTGCATATCTCGTCCTACAATATCTGTTCCAAAAAGGAAATAAAGTATGTCGATGAGTTCCTAGTGTTATTAAACGTATTTTCTTGGCAATGACATGGCTGGTTTAATGTAATATGCACCTTGTTGTCTCCTCCTTTTTCCTCCCAAACATCCTTTCCACCGAAGGATTGCCAGCATGAAGATTGTTAGGCATAATCCCCCAACAGTGCCAACACCAACACGGGCAATGATATAATTAGTTCGCACAGTTCCACCATTTTTACAAGGTTTAATATCTGGCCAATGAGTAAACTAAACAAGTTAACTACTCAGAAGTCAGAAGTGCTTTGAAGCAAATATTTAAAATTTGCTAATACGTAGAATTGCCTTTCATCTGCAAAAGTTGTCACATAAACTTCAGACCGAAAAAAAAAACCTTTGCACAATCTCAGATTGAACTATATGACAGGCAACCTTCATTCAACCAGTCAACCTTCAGTTTATATGATGGTACTAAAATGACACTGTAGGAAATGTGGACATCTCTGACTCACCAGAAACCACAGAGATGGCTGATATAAGGGGACCATAATTTCCTTTCTCTGGAATCACCATTGTCCCTTTTCCAGCCCAATAGAATCGGATCTCTAAGACGTTACTTGTCACGTTGACATTAGATACTTTCTTAACTAATCTCTTGTGAGCCATACCTGCCTCATATTCGATATTGAAATCCTTCCACACCAACCTTTCCTGAAAAACAATGGTCTCTTGTCAAAACCTCAAGTTGCAGGCTTGCAGCCATATTGAGACAGACAGTTTGAGTAGTGTAGTGAATTACCTGAACATAGACATCGAAAATACGCCTCCCAAGACTACTGTATCTTTCTTCATTTGTGAACATGATTTCCGCAAAGTGGAGAGTTATAGTGTAAATTCCATTTTCTAAACAATAGTGGAAATAAGTAAGTGAAAGCGGAGATAGGCGTGCTGTTGTATATAGTTCAGAAAGATTGGAAGACACCAGAGATATAGAGTAGCGTGTATTTTGCGGCTCTGAGTCATCCATGAAGTCACCAGTGCTACTAAATCCCCACATACTTTTCTCATTCCTAAAATATTTAGCACTGCCACCTTCAGCTCCTCCATCTCCTTCAAACGTGACGTTCCTGTGATTCTTGTCCTTGACAATTACGTCACTTCCACCGCAATTAATATGCATACACTTTGAAACTGCTGAAAAAAATTTGTAACAACTGACGATAAATATGAATTAGCCATTAAGAATGACGCAATAGCTAATCATTCTTACAACTTTGAATTCAAAGGGCAAAAGCGAGGATATATATGCTCGAACTCTGGTACGTAGACTTACATCGTGGGCACTTAAAATTCTTCAGGCATGGAACAACTCCCCTTCTGTCACAGAATGAGCAGAAAGATTTGAGCAAAATTTGGCTCGTTGTCTTGTAGTTAACTTAAAAAATTGGAATGAAAAAAAGAAAAGAAAAAGGGAGCTTCGACACAAAAAGAAGCATCTTACAAGTTGTCCTCCTTTGAAGAGCTCCGATACAAGTTCAGATTTAGATTCCTGAAACATGACAGTTTTTGAAAAAAACTCAGTTTTCCTAAACTACCTCAATGTAGAAAGTAATACATAGAGAAAATTATATGTTTCTGACAAGTGTTCTTGACATTCCAGTTGCTTAGGGCCTTGCAACGTGAAGTTGTTGTATGACAAATCGCTGCAAAAACAGTACATACACAGAAGTTAGAACTTGGTAGACTGCAAATATAAAAATAAATGGGGGTAGTAATAGAAAGCATTTCAGGAATCAAACGTACACATTACTTCCCTCTCGCAACATTGATTTTGGCACATTTCCACTTAGCAGGTTTCCAGTCAAAAAGCTAACCAAAGAAACACAAAGTATTAGTAATGTACATCAGTACTTTCAAGAAAGATGCTGAGTTCTCAATTTGGTTACTGCATTTCTCACTTACACAAATTTCAGATGCTCAACTCCTATCGTGGATGGGAGTTTACCCACTAGCTTGTTGAAACTGAGATCCCTAGCAATCAAATAATCACAATCAATTAATCTCAATCGTGAGACAGATTCATTAACCAGATATATGACAGAATAAAGTAAAGGGTTGATTTCATCTAAGAAACATTGTTTGAAAAAATGAACTATATGTTTGCAGTCGACATACATTCCTCCCCCAGAGAAGGGTGCTGATTCTAGTTGGATAATTTTGTTTACTGTACAAAAGTTAATTGGCAAGATATCTCATTTCATCAGCAGAGTGGGAGACTTCTGTATTTCACCTCTTCATTGCAGACATTCATTCATAGACACGTACTCGTGTATGTGTCTGTGTGTTTGTTGATTCAATTTCAAGCATCAGAAGTAAAGTTTTTACAACTTTAATTACTTACAACATCTCCAGGTTCTTCATGGACCAGATATATGCAGGGATCTCTCCAGAAATGTTACAGTTCCTCAAAATCCTTCAATTAGTTAACTAATCAGCCTCAAACAGCTCATAGTTATAGCTACTGGATAGAAATATGTGTGTGTGTGTGCGCTTGGGCGTATGCATGTCAAAGTATTGAATGGCAAAGATCTCTTTCAAACGTACAATGTTACTAGGCCTGTCATATATCTCAGCGTAGGAAATTCCTGACTTGGTGCATTTGTGTCACTAATCCTCCTGTACAAAGACACGCCACAATGCATAGAACAATTAATCAAATCAGCAAGAAAGATCATGCAAAAAAGCAACTTAGCAGAATGAGGATCGAAATTACTCACAGCTCTGTCAAATTGTTCAAAAGAGAAATATTTGATGGGATCGGTCCCTCCAGTCCACTTGAATGCATTTCTCTTCAACAAGTTTTTGGAAAGAGAAAGATCAATACATGCTATAAAAATTTTAAAAATTCGAAAGGCAACGAGAACAGCTTGTTTTACTAAAATAATATAAGGATTTTACAATCTTTTGAGTTGCTTCCAATTCTGCACCCAATCCGGGAGTGGTCCATTGAAGTTGTTATCATTCATTCGGCTGCATTGAAGTAGAAGTTTGCTTATCAGACACGAGAATCACTATAATGCTATAAAAGAGAAACAAATCTAATTAAACCTTACAAACATCTTATATTTCTTAGCCCGGAAAACGTCTGTGGCAAGCTTCCAGTCAGCTGATTGGAGGATATAGACCTACATATGCAACAAGCAGCAAGGAACTATCAATTAACTCAGCATAAAAGACACTGTAATCTGTTTTAAAATTTGTGGTGACTTACAAAGTCTGCAAATTGACCAAATGCCCGAGCTCAGCTGGAAGAATACCCGAAAACTGGTTTGCTTCAAGGTTCCTAATGATTTATAAGAGAAGCGAAAAAGAACGTTGATATAACAAATATGATATCCTATGGAACTTTAGTTCATCTATAGGTCAAGTAGCAATTATCAAGGTATGTAGTATAGTTTCACGACAATCACAAGAACTCAAATAAAAAAGGCAGTATTCAAGTTAAATAGAGATAAACCAAAATTTGAAACGTACAGGAATGTCAGAGTGGTAATGTTTCCCAACTCCTTTGGCACTTTGCCTGATAAGCGATTGGCAAGAACAGAACTGCAAAATTCACTAATAAATATAAAGAGCTACCAAATTAAATTCTTATCAGACCTTCAAAAAGGCTCACATGTAGGTTAACTTCATCGAAGCCCATTCCCTTGGTATTGTACCATTGAGATAGTTGTAAGAAAAATCGCTACAAGGAAAGAAATGTTAGTTTTAATTAAGATATAAAGATATGTATCGTCCGAATCTTGAATATCAAGTAATTCGAATATGATAGCTCATACATTTCTTGGAGGTAAGGAAGTCTGACGAGTTGAGGTGGAAGCATACCCGGTAAACTATAACCCTTGATCATTCTGTAAAGTGTTGAACAAATAATTAAAGTATTAAGCAGAAACTACTGAAATTCAGAGCTTTGTGACATGGAGGGCATAGCCTTTTTCTTAAGTCATGGTAAGATCAAGGTGAAACTTAAAGTTCAGAATCATACAGTTTTACGACATGACAAACAGTGTTGTTCTCAAAGTTGCATACGCAATCGACATTTTTCTGGGATCCCTTTGGTTGCTTCTCTGTTACACCCACCATGTCAATTCGGCAAGCGCCAGCAGCAGCTTCGAAACTCCAATATTTGGCCCCCATCGTGGTAGCAATTTGTAGGAGAGCATCAACTGAAAGGTATCCATATTCAAAGAGCAACAGAAAACAAATCAATGTAAAATGAAAGGGCAAGGCGGACCCTACGTTTCTGTGTGTAATATAAGTTTTATTTCGTAATGAAATGAGCATAACCTTTGAGCTATATATGAAGTTCTACACCGTGCTCTAGAAGAGCAACAAATGATCTTAGATTCTCAACTGATAATCTAATAAATCTAATCTACGCTATAAGGAGCGGGATTCGAACTAAGTGTGGAGGGAGGGAGCACACTGATCTACTGCTAGATCTGCAAACTTTAGCCCATTAAATGACTGAAATAAAGGAGCCTACACATTCAGTCATGGATGAGTCCTTGTACGTCCCAACTAGGGATATATATATATATATATATATATATAGGGTAAATTACATAGTAACCCCTCAGGTTTGAGGTCTATTACAACTCCATACAACAATTTTAAAACATTTCACTTTCATACATCTAGTATCATTTTATTTCAAAATAACACCTCCGTTAGATTTTTCATCCATTAGTCTGTTAAATGCTAACGTGGCTACCACATTTGTGCTGATGTGGCTGCCACGTGGAAAAAATTAATTTTTTTTAAAAGAAAAAAACCTAAATCTTCTAAATATTAAAAAAAAAAAAAAAACTAGAAAATCCCGAAACCCAGATCCCTTCTCCCCCACCCCCCCAACACCCTTCTGCAATCCCAAATCCTCTATTCTCCCTGTAACCCCCAAACTCATATCCCCCATCTTCATCTTCTTCCCTGCAACCCAGAAATGATAACCCCCCCCAACCTGCGACCCTCCCTCCCTCCGCACCCACCCTCTTTCCTTCTCTACACACCCCCCACTCTCCTCTACACACCCCCCATTCCACGAACCCGGTGATGGCGAGACGGGATCTGGGTTTTTTTTTTTTTTTTTTTGTGGGTTGCAGGTAGGGGGTTGGGGGAAGAAGATGAAGATGGGGGAGAAGAGAGAGGAATAGAGAGGAAGAGAGGGGAAGATGGGGGAAAATACGAACTGAAGGGAGCTTTTTTTTTTCTTTTTCTTTTTTCTTTCTTTTCTTTCTGGGTTGCAGGGAAGAAGATGAAAATGGGGGATATGGGTTTGGGGGTTGCGGAGAGAAGAGAGGAGGATGAGGGAAGGTTTTAGTATTTTTTTTTTTATTATATATATTTTATATTTTTATATTTTTAATATTTAGAAGATTTAGGTTTTTTTTTTAAAAAATTTAAAAAAAAAAAATTTGCCACGTGGCAGCCACATCAGCACAAATGTGGCAACCACGTCAGCATTTAACAGACTAATGGATGGAAAATCTAATGGATGTGTTATTTTGAAATAAAATGGTACTGGAAGTATGAAAGTGAACTGTTTTAAAGTTGTTGTATGAGGTTGTAATAGACTTCAAACCTAAGGGGCTACTATGTAATTTACCCATATACATATATATGCATGCATGCACGCATAGATATACGCATATATATGAGCAACTGAACTCACCTTCCTCTTGGGGCAACTCAGGAGGCTGAGCAAGTCCCGGCAGCGGGAAGCAACTCAGTGCAACAAGGAAGCATACAAAGAGCTTACCAGCCAGCTGCTGCTGCTGCATCATCAGCATTTATGTATGAAATTGTACTAATTGATCCTTAATAAAAGTTTATTGTGAGAATAATACAGTGTGTATGTATTTCTCATTTATAAGGTCGATGAGCACTCTTCTACTGTTCCCAGATGCGATTGAACATGGATTAAATAAGCTTGACGTGCGGTAACAAAAGGGATGACGACGTACCCTCGTGAACGTTACTGTAGGCCTGTAGTGGCGGCCTTCAAACAAATTACGCATTATTTTGTGACAAAATTTATACACATGCATGTCACTGCATTATAGATTTGGTGGCCACGCGCCAGTGTATCAAAGGAGGATCGTGGTGAACCACCAAAGGCGGGGCATCTCCACATTTAATTCCTTGTCGAAATTAAAGTTCTTTTAACTCCTTTTCGAAATTAAAGTTGGATTGATCCAATCACAAATTATATGCACAGTTAGCAAGTTGGAATAAGCAATTACATGCATGAACCAATTACTAACAAAAGACTTTGCCCATTAAATAAACATGGGACATGTTTAATTTATGATTATGGTGATATTAAATCGGTAATCCTTTCATTTGTTACAGACAATGATATCTACAAATTATTAGTAGTTTATGGTCATTCTATAGTCTATAGTGAAAAATAATTTTTACACACTCTTTCTAATCCTTATACAATAAGAAATATTTTTTACTAGTTTATCCAAAAGTAAAAAATATTTTTAGATACTCTTTGCTAAGGTCATTTTCACCTGAAACGGCTAAATATAGCCCCATCCAGATTTATAGAGGAAATTAATTTTTAATGAATAGTGACAAGTATTGACTTTGTAGTAGGGTACGGAGGCACTCGAACACAAATATTAGATGCAGCCATAAAATAAAAGTAAGCGATACCGCGTTGTTGAACTAGATTTATAGAGGAAATTAATTTTTAATGAATAGTGACAAGTATTGACTTTGTATTAGGGTACGGAGGCACTCGAACACAAATATTAGATGCAGCCATAAAATAAAAGTAAGCGTTGTTGAACTATTGGATCGCTTTTTAGTCCTGCCTTGGGAGAGAGGTGTGTTATAGTACGATTACATACTAACATCACTATCTTGGTGGTATATCGGGCATAGAGCATGAAAGAGGAGAGGTTTTATGGTGTTTTGTTTGAAAGAGGTGAAAGGGATAAGAAGCAACAAACACAGAGAGTTTTGGTTTTAATGGCTCAAGTATTTCCTCAATCCAAAGCTTATCTTAAAAGAAGTAAAACAATGAGAAGGAAAAAACGCACCGTTTTTCCGGTACGTAACTAATGGTTAGCTGAGACTCATAAGATAGCAAACTCCAACCCCAGGCAGCGCGGCAGCAGCGATGGAAGTTACAGAAACTCCCGCCCAAAACAACGAAGACGAAAACGACGTCTTCTTCGACGCACTCGACGGCTTCCCTTCCACCGACGAATCAGATCAATCCACGTCACCCCCAACTGCCTCTCCGGCGACCCACCTCCGTCGCCGGCCATCTCTCGGAGCAATAGCCGGCGACGACTCAAAGGCTTCATCTTCAGAAGAATCCTCTCTTAGCACCTCCCTACTTGCCCCCACCAACGACGCCAGGCTCAGTTTCCGAGCCAGAAGATTTAAGCTTCCCCGGAAATTGAGGGATTCCGAGTCGACGAGGGACCGAGGCAGCTCGGCGCAAGCTCCGAGTGATCAGAATGAGGAGGATTCGACTGTAACTACCAGGCCAACGACGGCCCATCCGCCGACTCCGCCGCGCAAATCGGTGACCCACGTGCTGACCGACATCCGAGGGTGACGAAAGCCTGATACAAAAGCTAAGAATAAGAATTAAATAAGGGTTATGAATTTAAAAACAATGAGATAATAATTTAGGAATGTGTTCAGAACATATAACTAAACCTAATCACTAAAAAGAATTGAGATAAAATTGAATGAATAAAGAAGTGAGTCCTTCCTGACTGCACCTAGACTTTTATGCTCTAAATAGGAGTGTTTACTGTTGTAACTAACTCTTATCACTCTCTGTTTAGTAGTGCACTCTAGTAATTTGGTTTTTGATTATTCGTATATTTCTTATCTTTTTCGCTTCCGCATTGTGCACATGACTACGTCACTCTCACGTGACATCCATCATGCCTTGATCTCGGTCAGGGTGTGTCACAATGTCACGTGATGGTATATAGATGGGTACAAACACAAATAAAACTTTAAAAAATATGGGCACAAAAAGAAACTAATACATGGGTACAAATTAAAAATGAAAAAAAAAAATTGGTACAAACTAAAAATAAAAATATATAATAAAAAATTTAGCCATAAATATAAATATACTAATTGTAACTTTTAACACTAAAGGAATATATTTAAAAATAAAAATATTTTATTATTCAAATAATTAATGATATTATTAATACCCAATGACCTTGATCAAAAATTGAAAATGAATAGGATTTTAATCAATGAGGTAGTAAAAAGAATGATGTTCTTCAATAAAAATCTTAATCACTCAAGTTGCTAGTCGGTTATAGAGGCATATGATTGGATGAGGCTTCCCGATAAGAGCAATGACGCTTGTATCATGAAGGACGACAAGTCGATCTTGTGTTGCTTTGAATTTTTTCAAGTTTTTCAACTTTGGTACGTAGCAGAAATTTGAATTGTAGTGCAAACGCAAAGTTTGAAGATATACTTTTCGATTCATAATGAATCACGAGAGAGGGGACAACTAGTATTTGTCAAGATTGACTCATGCATTCCGTGAGATTGGTAGATTTTGCATGCAATTAAAACAAGTAATCAGCATAAAAAATGTGCATTATTATTCACTTTTGCACTTTTGATGTGTTGCATTTGCATTGCATGCCATCGCCCATTTTATGAACAGGATTCATGTGATAAAATGCCCAAAAACTTTAACCTTATCCTTAACAACTAACGTCATTCCTTAAGTCTTTTCTCTTTCTCTTCCTCTTCCTTTCTACCCCTCCACGTGTTTCCAACCTCTTCTTTATTTTTTCAACATTGGAATTTTCTATAGTTAATTTTTGGTTAAAGATTCAATAACTAAGGTCTAACGACTAACAAGTCAGCTTTAATGCATGTTGTAAGTAAATTGCAATTTCTTGACGTAGATAATAATTAACATTAGCAAAAAACACATCACTCGTTAGTTTAACGCCACATGATTTTCATTTGATTAGAAGAGGTCAAGTTTGACTTATACGTATGAGAAATGATATACATTTTAATGAGTTTATCTCTTGTGGGTGGATCAATGACATATTATTAAAATATCTTTATAAATATTTCAATCTCTTGTTGGGAAAAAAAATTAACAGTAACAAAAACTTATACTTCGATTTGATTTACCAATCCGAGTACGGATCAGAAGATAACATATATCATATACTGTACAATCCAAACATGGAAATTCACATTTCCAATTAATTTCAAGTAACCTATTACAACACATCTGCCCCCTTGCTTTCTGGGAAAACCAAAAAAAAGTGCATAAACTAGAAGAAAAAAAAATGAAAAAAAAGAAGGGTCTTAATTGCCTCTCTTTCTCTGACCACAAACTGTTTAATCTCTGCATAATTAACTACTTAATATACCCTTCATCAATCGGATAAGTTACTTGCGCCCCACTCCTCTTAAGAAAGAGCCACTCTTCGTGATCTCACGCAGCGGCTTGTCCGTAAACCTGATTAGATTGTAGACCAATGCACCACTCACAGCTCCAAGAGTTGGTCCAAAAATGTATACCCACAGGTCCTTAAAGTGACCTGATACAATTGCAGGTCCTATGCTTCTTGCCGGGTTCATCGATGCTCCTGAAATCGGTCTGCAGG